CCCGCCCAAACCACCAGCTCCAGCGTGACCCAACCCCACCACTTCCCACCTCCCCATCCACCTGATTCCTTCTGTTTTTATCCCTCGACTCCGTGCCGAGGATCCCGCCCTTACCCGCGCACCCGGGACCGCGCCGGCGATGGCTCTTCCCGTCTGTGCCCGCTGGGCTCGACTCACATCGGACTTTTCCCAGTGGATAAAGCTTTGAGAAGCGGAGCCAACGTCACTCGTATCCCCCTCCTGCGCGGGGAGGGATAAACGGGCTCCAATGGGCTGGATAACGTGGGGCCGGCGGCTTCGGGGAGAGAAAAGCCTGACTGGGGATAACGCTGGGGATGCAGAGAGCTCAGCCTCGAGGAAGAGGAAAAAAACCTGAATATGGAATCATAGAATCACAGAACAGTTTGGTTGGAAAAGACCATTATGATCATCGAGTCCAACCACAAACCCAGCATTGCCCAGGTCACCACTGATCCATGTCCCCGAGTGCCACATCTACACATCCTTTAAATCCCTCCAGGGATGGGGACTCCACCACTGCCCTGGGCAGCCTGTTCCAATGCTTGACAACCCTTTCCGGGAAGAATTTTTTCCTCAGATCCAACCTCAACCTCTCCTGGTGCAATTTAAGGCCGTTCCCTCTTGTCCTAAGATATATCAGATTTTAAACTCTATGGGTATAAAACAAGGTGGAGATTTTCTTCTAAATGTGAGTTTTACCTTCTGGAAAGGAAATATCCAGAGGATGGAGCCCACCGAGCACGGTCCATGGGGATAAAGAGTCTCCAAGGGTCAGAGAAACCCTCCAACAGCCCCCAAATCCTCCAGCAATTGAATTGTGAGTCTCCAAAACCGCAGGGCAGGAGCATTTCTCCTCAGGGAAACTTCTCCGCCGGGACTCAGGAAGGTTTTACTCTTCTCCCTCATCGCTCCCAGCCCACGCAGAGCCCATTTCTGTAGCGTTTCTCTCCGCAAAGTGCTTTATTCTGAACAAACCAGGCTCTAACTCGGGGGTTTTCATTCTGTATTAAGTTGCTACATGTTTTGTTTTCTCGTTAATCGACAAAGCAATGCCACAGTCATCCTCCAAATACATAAAAAGCTTTTCTCGCTGTACAATGATTTCCCTAACACGTGTTAAAGGTGGAAAAGGTACCATTAGAATTAAAAAAAAATTTACAAAGATATTTCGCGAAGACTCAAGGGAGGGAGAAAGTCAGAGTTTAAGTTCACATCGAGGTATAAAATTAATATTGCTGGTTTAGCCCCGGCAGGAAAGAGGTTTTTCCAGGTGTAATGGTGATAACGGAGCCAGTCCCGGTTCTGGTTTCACCGGGACAATGTGCCGGCACCGCTGAAAAACCAACTTGCAAAATAAAACGCTCTTTATTTCTGCGTCTCCCTCCTCCTGCCACCCCCCCCCCCGCTTCCCCTACAGCATCCCTCGAGAGACGCTCCGTGCCGCCAGCCATTCCTGCGAGTGCTATTTGGCATGTTACAGCTACCAGAGAGGTTTGACATCGTGGGGGTTTTTTAATAAAAATCCCTAATATTAGTGCAAATTAGAAACGGGAGAAGGAGAGGGTTGGGTGACCAGACGCAGGTTAAGGGAAGGCGCCGGAAAAAAGCGATTTACTCTTTCGCTGTAAATCCAACCGTCAGTCCCCAGGTTTGCTTTCGGCAGGAAAAGTGTTAAAAAAACCCAACAATTCTCAGCTTGACCCTTCCCATTTCCAAAAGTTTCCTGTCACCTGCGAATTATTGCAATAGAAATGTGCTTTTCTTTTGTTTGGTTGGGTTTTTTTTAAAAAAGAGGAATTCTTTGTGCTCTCTTGTCACCGAGCAGCGGCTCTCGCCACGCGTGGGGCGTCACTGAAGCATCTTCAAACTGAACCCCAAATTCTTGCTCTCGAACGCTCGCAGCCCTGCTCGGATTTCCTCCCTTTTTTTTGTTTGTTTGTTTTTTGGTTTTTGTTTTCTTTTCCCCCGTTATTTCCAGAGATTTGAGGTTTTGCCTGAAGGTGCCACCGGCCAGAACCTCGCTGGGAAAAATCCCATTTGCAGAGGATGAACTCCCCAAGGACGCTGCGCAGATGAAGGTGTGGGAAGATGGGTTGGCTCAGAGCTGGAGCAATCCGGGTGGATTTCGGGAGTGCTCCGGGAATGACGAGGCTTTGGGATTCAGTAGGATACGTCCTGCGGGCAAACGGCTCTTCGTGCGATGCAGCTCGGAGCTGAGGCGCTGGCGAAATGTCTCACATCGCCGTCGGACCTTCCGAAATCTCCTCCAGCCTTTGCTCGATCATCAGCCGGAGGATGGAGTATCTGGGGAGGTGAAGGACAAGGAAAAGAGGATTTTTGCAGCATCCAGCTGGACTTTTAACCCAAATTGCCAAGAAAAGCCTGGAATCATGCAAAACCCCATGGCTCACGCGATGCAAGGCTGTGCAAATGAGTTTCCATCACTGAAATAACCCCCCGACAGTGTCCTTAAAGCTCAGCATCCCTCTTTGGTGGCACCGAGCCCGGCGTACTTGCGCATTAGCTTCTTCACTTCGCGATCCTCCTCTTCCTCCAGCTTCTGGATGAAGCTCCTGAGGACGGGCATCTCAAATTTGATGTACTGGGCAACCTGGGTGGGAGAAAATCATCAAGCCAGGCAATGAAGAGGGCAATGCACCCATCCTGCGAGGTTGAAGGTGACCTCCCAGCATCCTCTCCCCAGGTTTCACCAAGGAAATAAAGGACTTTTGCAAAAAAACCCTAAAAGAAACCTCGTTTCCTCTCCACGGCACAAACATCAGCTTCTGCAAACTGATTATTGGGAAAAAAAAAGCCACCTAAGGTTTATTTTAGTTTTACCTGCTGCCTGCAAGACTTGGATCCTTTGTATGGAGAGCCCTGCACAGCCCCAACATGTCATAGAATCATCAAATCATTTTGGTTGGAAAAGCCCTTGAAGCTCATCGAGTCCAACCATGAACCCAACACTGACAAGTCCCCCACTAACCCATGTCCCTCAGCACTGTGTCTACACGACTCTTCAATCCCTTCAGGGATGGGGACTCCACCACTGCCCTGGGCAACCCCTTCCAATGCCTCAGAACCCTTGCAGCAAAGAAATTCTTCCTCACATCCCATCTCAACTGCCCTGGCCACAACTGGAGCCCATTTCCTCTTGTCCTGTCCCTTGGGCCTTGGTTGAACACACCCACCCCCACCTCTCTCCACCCTCCTCCAAGGGACTTGCACAGAGCCACAAGGTCTCCCCTCAGCCTCCTTTTCTCCAGGCTCAACACCCCCAGTTCCCTCAGCCA